GAACGGCTGGAGGATGCCCTCCCCACGACAAAAGTCCCGTAAGAGGTTGGAGGAGAACTCACCACCTCTGTCAGAGTGCAGACGCATGACAGGAAGGTCCTCGCGGAACCGCTTGCGGAGCTGGAGACGGACTGCGCGGATCCAAGGGATCAAGACATCGGGGACCTGACCCTTGCTGCGCAAGGGGAAGACCGTGGTGTAACGTGTGTAGTCGTCAACAACCGGCAAGAAGTAGCGCTCGCGGTCCTATCCACTGACGCGGGCTGGGCCCCACACGTCCATGTGGAGAGTCTGCATGGGAGCAGTCGTCGGGGGAAACGAGGAGGAGTGAGGAGCGGCGCGCTGCCGCCCCTCGACGCATGGACGTGGGAGGGAGAGACCTTGGAAGACCAGAAACAAGGAGGCGGGAGTGCATGCCATGAAGGCGTGGCAGGGAGGGGTGACCAAGGCGGTGGTGCCACAGGAGAATTGTCAAACATATTTTGACACGCCCCCATAATTGATTGCAGGAGTAAGTGTAAAACGCCCCCTGACGGGGTGCACCAGGAGTGCAGCGGAAGAAACAGAAGCAAGCAAGAGCAGTAGTAGCCGGTGCAGGAGTGGCAAATACAGCTGTAGCACGCCCTCAGCCAAGGCAGAAGCAGTAGTAGGTGTAGGGGCGGCAAGTCGCCTGAGGAGCAAGCTCTGTGGCTGCAACATGCAGCAGGATAGCAGCGGCTCGACGGCAGCACCTGCAGGCCCCAGCAGCAGACAGCAGAAACAAGGGCAGGTGGCGGCAGGGGCGGCAGCAGGAGATGCCACGGTAGCAGCGGGTGGCAGCTGCAGATGCTTGACTGTTTTCCCACCACCCTCTCTTACCCTCCCCCCCACAGCAGCACGAGCGGCAGTGAGAGAGAGAGGAGGGGTGGCTGCTGGCTTTGCAGAATCTCTCTCGCCACCCTCTCACACTCCCCCCGTTTCCCCTCACCCTCCCCCCGCAACCTCCCCCCCCCCCTCACGGCGGACCCCGCTGAAGGGAGGGGTAGGACGGGCTGCAGGCAACTCACACCCGCCACCCCCACATCTCCCTCCCCCCACGGCGGAAGCTGCGGAAGGGAAGGGGGGGGCGGCGTTAGCTGCTGCTCACGCAGGTGCTGGCGACGGGCGCTGGTGCTGGCGCACACGGCCGTGCGCGGGTGCGCACGGTCGTACGCGGCTGCGCGCAGCAATGCGCGCCCGTACGCAGCTGCGCGCGGCTGCTGCTGTGTTCGTGACAGAACGGGGTGGGGCAGGTCGGGACGGGGCGGGTAGCGCTGGGCGGGTGACAGGGCGAAGGAGCAACGGGGCAGTACGAGCCGCCCAGCTCGTCGCCATGACAGCAGACAGCTTGCCGTCGCGCCCGTCACGTCAGTCGCAACTAAGGGCGCGACGGGCGCCACGAAACGAGAAATACGCGGTGGGCCCATGGAGTAGTTGAAAACAGCAGGCCAGGATGTTACGTGCTCTGATACCATGTCAGACATAATAGTTTAGGGGCCTAGGGTTTGACCTAGGCGAGAGTGACGAGAGGAAAAGTGCAAGCCAAAAAGAGATTGTTCACTATAGAGCGAGCAGTACAAATAGGTAAACAGCAACACAAGGAGGTGCACCACCAAACATGATGCAATATCTACACTACAACTGCAAACGATTATATAAAATATGTAAACATATTTTGACAAGAGTATGGTGCGACAGGAGGCGAGACGAGCAGGGGGTTGCTACCTGACCTGACACGGACACCTGAGCAGACGCAGCTACATGAGGAGGCTCAGTAGTCAGTGTGTTTAGACTCGACCCAGGCCGACGGGTGAACGTGGCCAGGTGACGGCCCGTCCGTGTACACGTGCAGATCGACACACGCTGACCCCCAGGAGTGGTGGTAGTGACCATCGCATTCTAGAGGGCAGCGGTACTCACCAAGTTCGTAGAGAACGAGGGGAGGTGAAGACCTGATAGTGAGCCAGATGGAACCGCCGGACACGGGAGAACAGTGAAGGAACGGGCAAGAACTGGGCCCCCTGAGGGGTCAGCCAATCTGACCTAAACAGGTGCAGGGAGTGGAGTGAGGGTGGTACTTTCGCGGAAGAAACAGCGGCGGCACCACCGCCACCCCCACCGCTGCCACCACCGCCGCCACCAAAGCCCCCACTCCCGCCACCACTTCCACCGCTGCCACCACCTCCGCCACCTCCACCGCCTCCACTGCCTCCACCACCACCACCCCCGCTGCCACCGCCACCACTCTTGCCACCCTTGCCCTTGCTGTTGAGGCGCTTCCCAGTAAGAGCAAAAGCAGCCCCGATATCCTCAGCACCAAGGATGTCAACAGCAGCAGCAGAAGCGTAGGAGGGGGCAAGGGGGGAGGGGGAACACCCCTCAAAGAAGGGTGTGCGAGGAGTGCCACAAGCAGCACCTACAGTGACTACGCTAGTCTCAGCTGCAAGGAGGTGCTTCTCGAGCAGGTCGACAGTGAGGTCTGTGGGGTCAAGTGCGAGAAAGTGGTCCCTGACTGCGCGAAGAGATTCAGGGAGGCGGGTGACTATGAAGTAGAGAGTGATGTACATCGGGGGCGGGTTCTTGTCTAGAAACTCGGCTGGGAGGGCAGCTCGGTAGCGAGTGTCGCTAGTACGAAGGTGGGTAATGAGGTCCTCGACTGTGGCAAAGTCTGACAGCTCGGGAAAAAGGTAGGGCAGCATAAGGGGGCCGAGAGCAGCAATGGCAGGGGAAGAGTAACGAGCGACTACAGCGTTATAGAGGGCTTTAGCAGTCTTGTGCTGGCCAAAGTGTGCGCGTTCGGCTAACGGCATGTGGTTGCGAATGGCTAAGCGAGCAGCAGTGTCACGGGTAAGCCACTGTGAGCGAGTCGCACTGTCAGCTGTGGCGGGAGGGGCGAGAGAGGCTCCAGACGTGTGGTCAAACAACGAAACGATGTCTCTAGAATCGCTCAGTAGGTACAACTGTAAGTCGTCGAGCCACGTATCGAACTGGATCGGACAGCCCTCATGATCGAAAGTGAGTACACTGAGAGAAGCCATCGTGGGCAGAGCAGGGTGGCGCGCGACCAGCAGGGCGGCACGCAGGCAGGGCAGCGCGCGAGCACTAGAGGAGCGCGCAGGGAAGGGCAGGGCGGTGCGACTGCCAATAGGGTGGCGCGCGGGCAGTAGGGCGTCGGCCAGCAGGTTGGCGCACAGCAGGGCGGGCAGCAGCAGGGCGGCGCGCGGGTGCAAAGGGCGGCGCGCGGGCTGCAAGGGGCGGCGCGCGGGTGCAAAGGGCGGTGCGCGGGCTGCAAGGGGCGGCGCGCGGGCTGCAAAGGGTGGCGCGGCGGGCTGCATAAGGGTGGCGCGCGGGCTGCAAAGGGCGTCGCGGCGGCCAGCAGGGCGGCGCGACAGGCAGGGCAGAGCAGCGCGACTAGTGGGGCTGCGCTATTCGGTGGGCCCTAAAGAAAACGGCCCTGGAACAGGACCTGCTCTGAAACCATGTCCGAATACTGAACGAGAATGAATGAACTATGAATGAGTTGGGTACAAGTACTAACCCTAATAATGTTGTACCCCTTATGGGCTACCCCACTATATCCTAAACAATGTAATCGTTATAACATTTTGACACACTGTGCCACATACTACACTCTGCAGCTCTCTTCTACTGTCGTTCATGCACCTAAAACATTTACTGTACTTGCTCCTCAGGCTCTGCCTTTTGAGTCGACTAAAAAAGTCTATTGTCGTTGAGGCACTTTAAACATTTACTCGGCACTCGGGCTTTTCATGCGTCCTGGTACATGAAAGCAACGAAGCAGAACTCACGACTGCCACTTGCATTCCTGCTCCTCTCCACCGCCTCCGCCGCCGCTGCTGCTGCTGCTGCTGCTGCTGCTGCCAAGCTTGCAAATTTGCTGCCACAAGAAAGAAGTTTAAAGAGTTGAGGGCAGGGACAGACAGAAAGTGGGGAGGTGGCAGGAAGTGGGGGCAGAAAACAGGGATGGACACAAAAAGGGGGTTCACAGAGAAGGGAAGTTGGGGGGGGACACCTGAGTGCAGTGTGTGTGGCATTTCTCGGTCACAATGCAGCATCACCTGAGTGCTACAAGCCTACTGTACCGGTATGTTCCGAAGCATAGCTTGCAAAATATATTAGAGTGGATACCCAAAGCAGCCTAGTCATCATTCCCTCCCAGCATGCACAGTCACGGACACTGTAGCGTTACAAGAGCAATTTTTAGACACAATACAAGAATAGATGCCGGAGATAGGAAGAAGACACAAATCAGGCTGACACAACATGCTTATGAACCAGTTTTGAGGCGTCTCGTTTTGAGACGTCTCGAAATCTGCACCAACACAACATGCTTATGATCCCTGACACACATGGGAGTAACAGGTGGAGTAGATTCACACTCACCTGTGAATTTTCTAAAGCAGGCTAGTCATCATTCCCAGCATACACAGTCACTGGCGTTGTAACGTTACAAGGCCATAATTGAGGCACCTCAAGAATAGACACTGGAGAGAGTAACACCCAGAACAGGCTTGCCATTACCAGCACAACAAACTTATTACTACCGACACACACAGTCACAGACGGAGCAGAGCCACACTCACCTGTGTGGGTTCCACTCTCTCTGCTGTAAACGAGTTGTCTCCAGTAGACGAGAATATGTATCCTTCCTGCTCAGTCACATTCACGAGAAGCACAATCGCAACAGTCACAGGCGAAACAGACAAATTTGCAACAAATGGGGGAAAAAAAAAAACGACAAAGAAGTGAGCACGTGTGAAGAATTTTATGTAAACAGTTCCAACAAACCCACAATAATATTTTCTGCAGTCTCAGTGCACCTTATTTCTGCTACTTCATACTACCGGTATACCTTACTCAGCTCCAAGTGGTAACTGGCATCATCGCACAGCGGACCGACAACAGCCTCTTCTGTATTATCCTCCCCTTCCATTCCAAACCACTGACGTCAATCCAGTCGATTAACCCAATGCACCTCCACTGTAACCCACCTTATTCAGCTCCAAGTGGTAACTGGCATCATCATACAGCGGACCGAGAACAACCTCCTCTGTATTATCCTCCCCCTCCATCCCCGCCCCTGCTACTCTCCTCTCCTCCCCATCACTCTCCCCCAAATCCCTCCTCCCCTTTTCTCCTCCGTGCCACCCCTCTGTCAACCGCCATCCCACCAACTTCCCTTCCTGCCAACTCCCCGCGTCACTTGCTGAGTCAGCAACCACTGAAAGGTTGACACCTGGCAGCGCGGGAGTGATCCGTGCTGTGAGGAAGACACCTGGACGGGCATAGACTGTAGGGAGGGGCGGCGGGCACCTGAAGGGCTCGACTCTCACCTGGAGAGGAAGAGGGAGGGAGTAAGGGGATTTACAAGGGGTGGGGATGGATTTGAATGGGTGCTGTGGGGATTGAGTTGGGCTGTGTGAAACATGCCTGGGCAGGCATAGACTGGCGGGAGGGGCGGAGGGCACCTGAAGGGCTCGACAGTTACCTGAGGAGGGGGGTGTAGCAAGGGGATTAAGAGGGGTGGGGTGGGATTTGAAGGAGTGGGGTAAGATTGAGTTGGGCTGTGACGAAGACGCCTGGGCGGGCATAGATTCGCAGGAGGGGCGTAGGGCACCTGAAGGGCTCGACACTCACCAGAAGGGGTGAGATTGGAAGGGGTGGGGAAGGGTTTGGAAGGGGTGGGGATGGGATTGAAAGGGGTGGGGAGGGGTTTGGAAGGGGTGTGGTAGAAGGACAACTGAATTTGCACCCTGTTCAGAACTTGCAGCACAGAGGGAAAAGGTGCTAAGAACTTTCAGAGTCAACAAAGATAAGCTGAAAAGAGTTGGCAAGGGGAGGAGGACGCATAAAGACGTAAACAAACGTACAGAGACGTAAATAAACATACAGAGACGTAAATAAACGCACAGAGACGTAAATAAACGTACAGAGACGTAAATAAACATACAGAGATGTAAATAAACGCACAGAGACATAAATAAACGTACAGAGACGTAAATAAACATTCGGAGGCGTAAAGAAACGTAAAGAGACTCAAATAAACGCACAGTGACGTAAATAAAGGCACAGAGAGGTAACGAGACGTACAGAGATGCAAACAGACATACAGAGACGTGGGCAGACGCACAGGGACGTAAACAGATGTGCAGGAATGTACAGGAACGAAAGAGACCTCTATTGCACGCACAGGAATGGCTGCAGGGTAAAACAGGAGCCGCGGGGTCGGTGGAAAGGGGAAGGCGCCATCTGGAGAGGCCCACTCGTTGAGATTCTCGGACGTGTCCTGTGGAGAGCTGGCATGAGACAGCATAAGGGACAGGAAGTGAAGGCATGGGGTGTGAGGCATGAGCGGTAGGGCACAGAGGTAGTTGCCACAGGACACCAGAGCATTAGGGATGAGGCATGCGGGGTGAAGCATTATGGATGGACTACGAGGGATGAGGGACGAGTCATAGGGCATAGTAATAGATGCAACAAGGAACCAGAGAAAGGCACGTCTCAAAACACTTGGTAAGTGCCAGCATGTGACACTCACTCACACACTCACTCACACACTCACACACTCACTCACACACTCACTCACACACTCACTCTCACTCACTCTCACTCTCAATCTCAATCTCACTCTCAGTCTCAGTCTCACTCTCAGTCTCACTCTCAATCTCACTCTCACTCTCAGTCTCACTCTCAGTCTCACTCTCAGTCTCACTCTCAGTCTCACTCTCAGTCTCACTCTCAGTCTCACTCTCAGTCTCACTCTCATTCTCACTCAGTCTCACTCTCAGTCTCACTCTCAGTCTCACTCTCAGTCTCACTCTCACTCTCACTCTCACTCTCACTCTCACTCTCAGTCTCACTCTCAGTCTCACTCGCAGTCTCACTCTCAGTCTCACTCTCAGTCTCACTCTCAGTCTCACTCTCAGTCTCACTCTCAGTCTCACTCTCAGTCTCACTCTCAGTCTCACTCTCAGTCTCACTCTCATTCTCACTCAGTCTCACTCTCAGTCTCACTCTCAGTCTCACTCTCAGTCTCACTCTCAGTCTCACTCTCACTCTCACTCTCACTCTCACTCTCACTCTCACTCTCAGTCTCACTCTCAGTCTCACTCGCAGTCTCACTCAGTCTCACTCTCAGTCTCACTCTCAGTCTCACTCTCAGTCTCACTCTCAGTCTCAATCTCACTCTCACTCTCACTCTCACTCTCGCTCACACTCTCACTCACACCGTCACTCACACTCACCGTGTGGACCCACCATTAACTCACACTCCCACAACTACTGACTCACACTCACCCTGTGACCAAAGTTCCTGCTTCCAAGTTCCCCTCTCCACCCTCTTGCTCCTCCTGCACTTGCTGCTCCCACCCCTCCCCTAAATCGACCTCCCCTAAATCTACCTCCCCTAAATCCACCTCCCCTGGTTCGAACTCCCTAGCACCATCAGTAGCAGCACCATCCGCAATGAAGGAGTGTGTGGGAGGGGAGGATGGGAAGCCAGAGTGGTGGAGAGAGAGCACGAGGCTGGTGTGTGGCTCGAGCCAATAGGACTGCACGGGAGAGGAAAAGAGAAGAGAGTAAGGAACGGGAGGGAAGGAGTAAGAGACATGATGGGCATGAGCAGTGGATGAGTGTGTGAGAGGTCCGGATGGGAAGGCGCAGTGGTGGAGAGAGAGGAGACTGGTGTGTGGCTCGAGCCAATACGACTGCATGGCATGAGGAGGTAGTAAAGGAGAAAGGCGTGGAAGAGGCACAATAAGTATGATGAGCAGAGGAGGAGCATGTGAAAGGTGCGGATGAGAAACAGGAGTGGTGGAGAGAGAGTGGGCGATTGGTGTGTGGCTCGAGCCAATAGGACTGCACATAAAGTGCTCATGAGCACAGGAGGATCATGTGAGAGGGGCTCATGGATTGATGCTACTGCTCATAAAGTGCTTGTCTGCTCCCTATAGCTCAACAGAATAAAGCTTGAATTATTTTGATCCCATCCTTGCTCATGTCTCGCCAGCTAAAAGATTCATGTCTCGCCAGCTAAAAGATTCCAGCAGGGTCCTCCTTGGATGGTGGGCAGCCGAGTGAGAGAAATCCGTGAGAAATGGAGTCAATACAGCTCACCATAGCTCACCATAGCTCACCACGCTTCACCATGCCTCACCTGGTCATTGATTGCCCGAGGGTCCTCGGACGGTGGCAGCGCACTGAGAGAGAGCCGTAGTCCGATTACAACTGGATTGGTAACGAATGGCTTGCTCTCCCACTGTCATTCGCACTGATCCACGCGACGAATGGTTGCCTCACCACACCTCACCACACCTCACCATGCCTCACCTGGTCATAAATTGCCACAGGGTCCTCCCTGGATGGTGGGCGGCGCACTGAGAGCGTGCCGTAGCTGTCACTCCCGCCGTCTTCATTCCCACTGATGCGCGCGACAATGGTTGCTTCGAGAGAGAGGTGGGAGAGCGATGGCAGGAGGAGGGAGGTGTTGAGGAAAACGAGGCCAGATACTCGGTAGGCTGTGGGAGTCAGGAGAATGGGCTGCAGAAGGGAGCAGAGAAAGGGGGGAGTAAAGGGCAAAACAGAAGAAAGCATGCAGGGAGGTGTTGAGGAAGACTGGGCTGGATACGCGTAGGCCGTGGGAGTTAGGAGAATGGGCGCCATAGTAGGCAAATGCGTGTGACGTGGCAAGGGTGGGGGATTGCCTATGCAAACAGAATAACATCTGAGCTATATCTGAAGGGATTACCTTGGGTTGGTGGGTGTGGAAGGAAAAGGAGAGAGCCTTATAGTAGGCACAGGCGTTTGACATGGCAAGGGGAAGCGAGAAGGCGATTTGGCAATACCTGAGGAAGGGAATACCTTGGGCTGGCGGGTGTGGAAGGAGAAAGAAAGAGCCCCATAGTAGGCACAGGCGTGTGACATGGCGAGGGTGTATTCCCCAGGGGACTCCACACAGAACTCTTGCACTCCGGGCTGCAGAGGAATGGAGAAGAGTGGAGAGGGGTGGAGAGGAGTGGAGAGGGGTATGGCAAGTAAAGAAGAGCATGTGACATGGCAGGGAGGTGTACTCCCCTGTGGATTCCACACAGAACTCCTGATGCCAGGCTGGAAAAGGGTGGAGGGAGGTGGAGAAAGGTGGAGAGAGGTGGAGAGAGGCGAGACGGAAAAATCAGTGGGATCATAATCGTTGTGAATCTGTCCTCCATTGCTGCCTGCTTTCTATGTGCAACAGTAGGAGTAGGAGTAGGAGTCGGAGTAGGAGTAGGAGTAGGAGTAGGAGTAGGAGTAGGAGTAGGAGTAGGAGTAGGAGTAGGAGTAGGAGTAGGAGTAGGAGTAGGAGTAGGAGTAGGAGTAGGAGTAGGAGTAGGAGTAGGAGTAGGAGTAGGAGTAGGAGTAGGAGTAGGAGTAGGAGTAGGAGTAGGAGTAGGAGTAGGAGTAGGAGTAGGAGTAGGAGTAGGAGTAGGAGTAGGAGTAGGAGTAGGAGTAGGAGTAGGAGTAGGAGTAGGAGTAGGAGTAGGAGTAGGAGTAGTAGGAGTAGGAGTAGGAGTAGGAGTAGGAGTAGGAGTAGGAGTAGGAGTAGGAGTAGGAGTAGGAGTAGGAGTAGGAGTAGGAGTAGGAGTAGGAGTAGGAGTAGGAGTAGGAGTAAGAGTAGAACTGCGCCACCCTATGCCACCCTATGCCACCCTATGCCACCCTATGCCACCCTATGCCACCCTATGCCACCCTATGCCACCCTATGCCACCCTATGCCACCCTATGCCACCCTATGCCACCCTACGCCACCCTATACCACAGTATGAACCAAAGGCTGCACTCACCGAGACAGAGAAGTCAGTGGGGTCATAGTCCCCGTGGGTCAAAGTGAACCTGTCATCCATTGCTGCCCCCCTCTGCGTGTGAACTTTTGAGTCGACTCAAAAGTGAACCTGTCGTCCATTGCTGCCCCCCTCTGCGTGTGAAAGCAGGTTTAGACACCACACTAGATCACACTGCGCCACAGTATACCACAGTATCACCATACCAACAGCCGCACCTACCGAAACAGAGAAGTCAGTGGGGTCATATTCCCCGTGAGTCAACGTGAACCTGTCGTCCATTGCCGCCCGCACCACCATGCGCCACCCGCGCTGCGCCAGCTGTACGTTCGTCACGGGCGAATCAAACACCGCCACGTCAGCGCGGCCCTCCTCCTCCCAGCACCACTCGACGCTCTGCAATTCAGTGGCATTGGCGGGAGCCTTGCGGGCCTGTTGTGTGTAGGGAGGGGGGGGAGTGGGAAGGGGGACGAAGTGGGGAATGGGGGCGATTTGTTGACGTGCATCCTCCTTCCAGCAGCACTCGCCGCCGTGCTGTTTTGAGTCGCCTCAAAACTGGAAGGTGGACTAAGTGGGGGATGGGGGCATTTTGTTGACGTGCTTCCTCCTTCCAACACCACTCGCCGCCGTGCTGCAAGGCAGTGGCATTATTGCTGGGAGCTGCATGGGCCTGCAAAGGGAGGGATAGTGGAAGATAGAGGATAGGAGAGAAACGGAAAGATGAAAGGGGGAAGCAAACGAAAGAATGGCAAAAAGAGAACCCATTAGAGTTCCATCCAGTCCACCACTCACCTCGATTCGGTACGACCCAGGAAGCAACCAATCAAAGAAGAACGATCCCACCGAACCTTCCTTCACTACTTTGCCACGCCTTCGCCACCTCTGCCTTCCTCGTCTTCCCCTCCCTTCTCCCATGAAACACACTCGTCCAGTGGACCACTCACCTCGATTCGGTACGACCCAGGCAGCAACCGATCAAAGAAGAACGATCCGATCATGCCTCTTCGTCACAGCCTCTCCAATCCTCCCCTTCCCCTGCCATCCTCTCCCACAAAAGACACACTTCCAATGAGATAGACCACTGACCTCGATACGGTACGATCCAGGCAACAGACGGTCAAAGAAGAATGATCCGACCATGCCTCTCTTCTCCACCACGGCTGCACTCCTCCCCTCCCCTTCCCCTCTCCCTTTCCCCTCCCTTCTCCCCTTTCCATTCCCTCTCCCCTCCGCCTTCCCCCCTGCTCCCCCCTCCCCTCCTCCCACCACCACCACTCGTTGCAAGAACGTGCCCTGCTGCTGCTCTGTCTCTCCATCTGCCCCTTCATCTGCCCGTTCATCTGCCCCATTGTCTGTGAGCGTCCAGAGTGTGACTGTAACGGTTGAGTCACACTCCTGCAGGCACCGCACCTTGCCAGATATGAACAGGTGTGACTGTAAAGGGGAGTGGGTGGAGGGGAGGGGGGGAAGGGGAGAATGCAACAGGTGTGACCAAAGCCAGTGTCTGCAAGTGCTTTGACTGTAACAGGAGTGACTAACAATGTGGGCTGTGTACGCAGCATAGAGCAATAGTGCCAAGCGGGCAGGCAAGGGGACAGGTTGGCAAAGCAGGCTCATGGGCAGCAGCAAAACTTGTTACAACAGAAATGGATACAAAACGACATGATGCGATACAGTACGATACGATATAATATAATCCGATACGAATCGTGAAGTCAGTCTGTCGTCATTTCACATACCTGTTTGAAGACTATGTTAGTGACGGGGGCGGATGTGACAGTAACGGATTCCTCTATAGAGGGGGAGAAGACCAGCCCTGCTGCCACCTCATCCGGGCTGATCTCAGGCACCAATTGGTAGCTGCCACGTGGCACCTTGGGGCAACAGGAGAGAATGGGAGTGGGGGTGAAACAGGAGAATAAGGTGAAGGGGGAAGAGGGGGAGGGAGAGATGAGTATACGAGGAATGGGGAAGCAGGGAAGAAATTGCCATGAACCTTCTGAGGTACATTTCTGATGCGCCTCAAAATCAAACTCCAAAAACCAAGCTCCCTCAAAATATCCATTAAACATATATCAGCACTCGCCCATTTCCACATCTTCCCACCCACCATGAAGCAGAACCGTCCATCTTTGTCCGCCTCTGCAATCACTGGGGCCACACTCCCGCTCGCTTCCTGCCGGCTCAACCCCTTGCTGCCACCACTGCCGCCGCCGCCGCTTCTGCTGCTGCTGCTGCGCCCAGAGCTGATTCCTCTTGCACTTGTGCTGATCGTATCCCAGCTAGGATCCTGAGAGCCGTCCATGTGAGACCCATCGAAATCACCAGCTCGGCTGAGCTCCACTCGCCGCCATGGCACAAAGGACGACTCGCCGCCCGGGTCCATCTCCACCCGCCCGCAGAGTGCGTACCGGGTGGCACGGATGGGCGGCAGGGCGATAGTGGTTAGCGAGGCAGCTTCTGTTTCGCTTGCACCGGTGGTGGTGGTTGTGGTTGTGGCATCAGGAGCAGCAGTCGCAGTAGCAGTGGCGGTAGCAGCAGTGGCGGGAGCAGGAGCAGGAGGGAGGGTGATGTTTGCAAGGGTTGGGAAGGCGTAGAGGGGTCTGACTGCTGTTACGGTGTGAGTTCTGGGGAGAGGTGGAGAAGGAGGGGGAGGAGTAGGAGGAGTGGGAGGAATGGGTGCCGCTGCAGGGGAGGGATGGTGGAGGGTTGAGGAGAGGAGCGAGGAGGGGAGTCTGAAAGAGTAGTCACCCTACAAAGAGCGAAGGGGGTGGGCGAGGAGGAGAGAGAGGGGGCATGAGGAGAATGGAGGAGGGGTGAGGATAGGGGCAAGAGGATTGGCATTAGAAGTCAGGTGTGCAGGGAAAAGGAGTCAGGTGGTTGCAAATACATTTCTACACTAACTGTAGCAACCGTAACACAGTTACACCTTGTTGCCAACATCGCTCCCTCCATTCTACAGCCAACTCTCCCCATCCACCTCTCACTGCAATGAGCCTATTTTTGAGTCGACTAAAAAATACCTTGTAGTCAACATCGCTCCCTCCACCCCACAGCCTACTCTCCCCATCCCCTTCCCACTGTAACCAACACAAGTAGCACCAAATAAAACTCACCTGAGCGTCAGTCACAGCCACTGAGAGCCCATCCAGCAGCACCGTCGCTCCCTCCATCCCACGACCACCCCCATCCTTCACCCACTCGACAATTACTTATAGGCTACCGCCCTAGCAACTCACCTGCGCGTCAGTCACAGCCACTGAGAGCCCATCCAGCATCACTGTCGCTCCCTCCACCCCACGGCCCTCCCCGTCCTCCACCCTGCCACTGCCTGTCACCAGAGAAATATCCGGCTGGGACAGGGTGGGGAAGAATCAAACGTGGGGATTGAGGAGGGAAGGTGGTGAGGAGGAGTTAGGGCCCACACCCCGGCCCTCCCCATACAACACCCTCCCGCTGCCTGTCACCAGAGCTGTATCCGGCTGGAAAATGGCGGGGGGAAGAGGGGGAAAGGGCGAAGAGGGGAGAGACATGAGCACCAGTGAGAGTATAGCTGGCCACATAGAAGAGTGCCCCTGCGTCCTTGGATCCGCACCCCACCTCCACAGGCACTCTAGGACTTGGTGTGCGTGTTACTTACTGACAACATGTGCGCACCTTAGAGGTGGTGAGAGTATAGCTGGTCCCTAGAGCCACACCCCACCTCACCTCCACAGGCATTCTAGCGAGAGAAAATGCACATACCTGAGCCACATAGAAGAGTGCCCCTGCGTCCTTGCTTTCCCATCCCACCTCCACCGGCACTCTAGCGCTTGCACTGGTGCTTGTGGCTGACTCAGTAGGAGAGCGAGAGATAGACAATGCATGTGTGTACCTGAGTGGCAGTGTGGGAGTACCTGGTTCTGGGCAGCAGCAGCAGCAAGCGTGTAGCTGGCCACATAGAAGAGTGCCCCTGTGTCCTTGGATCCGCACCCCACCTCCACAGGCACCCTAGCACTTGCACTGCCACGTGTGGCTGACTCAGCAGAGTTAGACCTTGTTGAATCGAGTGTGCTTGGAACGAGGGGGTGGATGGTCCACAGAGGGTGTGAAGCAGACAGCTCATATGCTCCTGTAGTCGGTAGCGGGTGAGTGGGTGGGTGGGTGGGTGGGTGGATGGGCAAGTGGGTGGTTACGTGACAACCAAAGGAGCCTCAACTCAAGTGCTATCCCCCCATAGGAAGCCTCCCACAGTGCGCTATCCCCCCACCACATACTCACCCACAGGAAGGCCGGGGAAGCTGAACACACCACTGGCGTCCGTGACAGCCGTTGCTGCCACCTGCTGCTGTGTCTCACTGTCACTGCCGCTGCTACTGCTGCCGCTGCTTCCACTGGTTCCGTGAGCGGATTGTAGGGTTACGAGGATACCAGCCGGCCCTGTCAGGGGTCCATCGGGTGGCTTCGTTGCTCCTGGTGCTGCTGGCAAGTGGCCTGAGAGGCCAAACCTGTTCCAGGAGAAAACAACAATGTTTTACTGCACTTTCAGATGAAATCGACATGCTAATAGTGTGTGAAGCATACGCGGTGAGAAAAATCAAGAGATTTAAAAGAGCTATCCTAAACGCACACGCACCCGTGAATGTGGAAATCCATGTCATTGCCAGCATTGCAGGACACAGCATCGACAACCACCATCTGCATACAAGCAGTGTTTTGAGACGTCTCAAACCACTGCCTTTATCACAGTGCTATCCTACTAAACACACGCACCCGTGAATGTGGAAATCCAAGTCGTTGCCAGCATTGCAGGACACAGCATCGACCACCACCATCTGCATGCAAGCATGAAAGAGAGGATCCAATGGGGTGCGAGGATGAATGAAATCACGAGATGATTCTTTAGCAATCTCGAGTCAGATATCATGAGATTGCAGGAGAGAGCATCGACCACCATCTGCATGCGAGCATGAAAGAGAGGATTGGGTGGGTGCGAGCATGAAATCACGAGATCAGAGGGAATCGGGGTGCGAGGGTTAAGTGAATTAAAGCCGTGGACAGTCAGAGGGAATCTGGTAACTTTCCAGATGGGATTTTGCTGATAACTGGCATGGGAAAGAAGGGGGAGAGGGGGAGAGGGTTTTTGAGGCGCCTCAGGAATCTGGTCACCTGCCAAATGGGATTGTGCTGATATCTGGTATGGGAAAAAAAGGGGAGAGGGGGGGTGATGGAGTCCCATTTAGTGATTTGCGGATAGGCATATCAATCGATGCAACAGAGGAAGGAGTTGAAGAGATATGGGTGGGAAGTGAGCAGATGAAATTACTTGGGGCGCCTCAAAAACCATTTAGTGATTTGTGGGCAGGCATATTGATCGATGCAATAGAGGAAGGAGTTGAAGAGATATGGGCGGGAAGTGAGGAGATGAAGGCAGGATCTGAGGAGAGAGGTTGGGGGAATGGAGGGAGAGGGGAGGGAATGAAGGAGGCGATGGGAATTGAGGTAGATGCTGGGATTTAATATTTATACAACAAGCGGGCAAGGGGCGGAAATCACCTTGGGAGAATCAACAGACCAGCCGGGGGGGGCACGTAGGGCGATTAGAAAGGATTCCTGAGAGGAAAGGGAAAGGGGAGGAAGAGAAAAGGATGGAGGAGGATGGAGGGGTAGAAGGGGGGGAAGAGGGGGGGAAAGGGAGGGGAGGGGAAGAGGGATGGGGATTGCCTCAAGAAGCAAGTTCATGGCAAAGAGATTACAACAAAGTCAGCCTGAGCAAGTTTTGAGAATTCTCAAGAGCGAGCCTACAGGCTAACTAACTGGGGGGAAGGAATGGGGGAGGAGGGTTCGGGGGGAAGTGGATGTAAGGGTGATGAGAAAGGACTCGTGGGAGGGGAAAATGAGTGGGGGAACGGGAAGACGAGAGCAGAGTGGAGGGAAGAGGGAAGACGGGAGGAGACGACTTTTGAGGCGCCTCAAAAGGGGTCAGGGGGAAGTGGAGGGCGATGAGGAAGGACTCATGGGACGGGAAAATGAGGGGGGAAGGCGAAGACGAGAGAAGAGTAGAGGGAAGGAGGAAGACGGGAGGAGAGTGGCATGTGGGAGAGGGAAGGTGGGATGAGAGTAGCATGTGGAAGAGGGAAGGCGGGGAGGGAGGAAGGGAGGGAGAGAGGAAGGGAGGGAGCAAAGGTAAACCGGGGGGACTAATGCAGATTGAGAGAAAAACGCACCTGGAGGGAAGGAGGCATGAGCAAGTAATAGCCATCCTTGTCACAGTGTGTCCTTTCATGCACGAAGCTGCCGTCATGGGACTGTAGCTCGACCTGTACAGCATAAAAAAGTCATCGCAAAAATACATATGAAAACCAGAACACATCTCCTTTTTATTTGAATTATTATTCCTGAGAATCATAAGAAATTGCTCATCAGGACGTGTGTGATCATCACCATAATTTTGCATTCAGTATGGGCACACAAGCCATGATTTACCAATCACAAATGCAGCTGACACACCAATTACCATGACGCGAGTGTAATTAACACAGATTTCCTTGATAGACATAGAGGTGTAAATTAGTCAAGACATTACCATGATATGGTTGTAGTCAATTGCCTCTGAATTGCTCGCTTGCGGCAGAAGAGATGTCAGACGAGCACTTGGCTGCATTACAGTCGCATCGAAGAGACGCATCACAAAAGCACAACCACCTGAACGCCAGTGTCAAATTCTGGCATTAATTGTCATGTGTCATACATTACCATGTTTCATTCAGTGCAATGTGCCATTCAACGCAATCTGTCATTCATTTGTCATGTGCAAATCATTGTCATGTGTATTGCCATGTGCCCTTTATTGCCATGTGTCGTTCATTGTCATATGCCATTCATTGTCATCTGCCCCTCATTCAGTGTCATGTGTATTGCCATGTGCCATTCAGTACCATGTGCCATTCATTGCCATGTGTCATTCATTGTCACGTGTCATTCTTTGGCATGTGTCATTCAATGCCATGCATGTTCCATTCATTGGCATGTACCATTCATTACCATGTGTCGTTCATTGTCATTGTTCATTGTCACCTGTCACCCCTTTCCATTTGCCAGTCATTGTCATGGATTACAAACAATGGCATGCATGCTGTCGCATCATGACCTATCTCAGGTACCATGGCATGTGTGAGATGTAATGTGTGACCCGATAGCATGCGCCTCACACACCACGTCATGCGCCTCACCTTGACAAACCCGCTGCAGCCCACCAGCACAGCCTCATCCCTCGCATCCACTCTCATTGCAGCCTCCGTTATAAGCACGGCCACGCATAGCGACCACAGAGCACGGCGCTGGCGACAACACCGCGTCACCTTAAGGCGAAACATGACTGGTGGAGAGAGCCGACCGCCAGGATCCGAGATAAGGCAGCGTTGTGGATATAGCACGCGGAAGCGTTGCTCTGATGAGGCAACCTTGTCGATATCTGAGCTACTTCCTCAAAGCAATGCGCCAACGAATGCCGCAACTGACGCTGTTACATTAAGTCGGGTGCTTCAGACGACTATGAGCAACTCTTTCTCACGGTTCAACACCGAATCCCGTGAAGTGCAGTTGGACTCGCTACTTATCAAGATTGCAAAGAACAACACAAAAATCCCAGAAACACGTTCTTTGGTTTGTGCACGGAACCTCAAAACGAATTCATAACAATTCAAGTGTGCTTTGGTACAGTGGAATTATCCGATGGGTTGATAGCAGAAACGAGAAGCTACGATACGGGGCTCACATGCAAGTGTCTGGGATAAGATGCAGGCAGAATGGCTGCATGTATTGTCAGGCATTATAGAGTTCCTTAGGCACTAAATATGATCATGGAATGGAGTATCGTGATTTAAAATGTGCAGGAACTTCTGTTTATAAATCTAAATCTAGAGATCCAAAGTCACTTACAGTTTGCCTCAGAACTTCTGTTTAGAAACCTAAAGATGAATTTGTGTACAATCAAGCTCATAATGAATCACGGTTGCTACAAGCAAGGATGGCATACAAAAAATGGTGTTTAGCACCAAGTAAATGTTTGGAGAAATATGTTTGAAAATGTGGTGGTTTAGCGCTAGAAACTTGTCAAGTGAAGAGTCTAAGATGCTTAGATGGCGGTACGCTCCTCCTGCGAATGCTGCACCGCTTAGTCCTGCCAACATTGACGGTTTATGTTTGTTAGCTCTTATGATGACACGTCGCCAGTATGGAGGTAACTTAAGAAAAACTGAGTGAGCGCACCTTGGACTGGATGTTGTTGGACAGCCAGTCGAGACCCTCATAGAGACCTTCTCCTGAGGTAGCGCAAGTACTCTGGATGTACCTGAAATGAGCGAAGGTGGTATGACAGTCAAGGCAACAAGTCAAAACGACATTTCTCCGTGGATCAAACAGAATGTCGACCGAATTTACACGCTAATGATAGCTTTAGAACCAAATCGAAATCGCCTTGAATCAGCCACTTACCATTGACGCTGGCGCAATGAATGAAGACCAAGCTTATCGGTAATCTCTGCAGCGTTCATGGCATTCGGAAGATCCTGCTTGTTGGCGAACACAAGCAGCACCGCGTCTCGCAATTCGTCCTGGAAAAAGGAGGCGGAGAGAGAGTAAGTACACAAACCAGGTCACCAGACCTATCGAAGAATTTCAATTAGCAACAAATGATGATGCTGACCTCGTTGAGCATTCTGTGCAACTCATCCCTGGCTTCCATCACACGATCCCTATCGTTGCTGTCGACAACGAAAATCAGACCTTGTGTGTTCTGGAAGTAATGCCTCCAAAGGGGACGGATCTGCACAAAGAGATAAAATACAAAATTAGTCCAATTACAAAACGACCTAACAATTAGAGGCCTAGTTGCAATTTGCTTTTCTTACCTTGTCCTGACCTCCCACATCCCACACAGTGAAGCTGATGTTCTTGTATTCCACAGTTTCGACATTGAATCCTGGATTGGAAAGAAGATAAGGTCGCTTAGCTAACTTAAAGGTGTCTTAAGGGAGTCTGACAGCAGATCGACGAAGGACTGCAATCATACCAATGGTTGGAATGGTGGTCACGATCTCTCCCAGCTTCAGCTTGTACAGAATGGTCGTTTTACCAGCGGCATCTAGACCAACCATCAGAATACGCATGTCCCGTTTCCCAAAAAATCTCGCGAAGAGCTTCCCGAAGGACAAACCCATGGTGAACTGCTTTTAGAAAGCGAGAGCAAGAGTGGTAATGGAAATCAATAAGATCGGAGTAATCTGAGATTCCTAACAAGGCCTGCTGGAGAGAATGAGCTATAAGTGGCCTTTTTGGTTCTGGAAACTGAATGGTTGGGTAGCAAAATGATCCCTTTTCTCTACCAACCAGCTCTCGCACGGTGTTCTCAAGGCCAGACTTTCCCCCCAATGGCACGTCGCATGCCTCCCGCAAGACTTCGCTATCCGTCGCATCGGGCTGACCAAACCCAACTTTCCTCGCACGGTGGAGGCCGTCTGACGCGCAAGGACTGGAATTCCCCGCGCGAATCTGCTGCACCGTTCGCGACGCTGACAGGGCTCCTTCGTTGTGGGCGCGTAGGGCACGGTGGAGTCACTGAGATCCCACCGTTAGGTTGATAATATCGAGTTCTACGTAAAAATCACAAGGTTGACTAACAAGTTCTGTATACAAGAAAGATACGGGACTAAAAGAGATATATTGATTTGTTTTCCTTCACGAGCTGGATCATGGGCCTAAATTCTTATTGATTTCATGGACATGGCATATTTAAATTAACTATTTCTAGTTGCTCTTATCTCTTTTGTACTATCTGAGGAACAGATACTTGTCCCTTGGTGAGAGACCTATATCAGCATCAGCAACATAGCAACAATCATTTAGCAGTATCAGTACACGAAGTGTATCCGCCTTTTGATTCACATTCACGTGTTCTCCTTTTCCCAAGTTGGCTAGGCGTATGTGGGGTAGGGCGGAAAGGCACAGAAATCCAGGGGAGGTGGCGGGGGAGCCGCCCACCGCCTTGTTACCCTAGCCATGCTGTTCGCGAACCACTCAAAATTGAGTTGTCGGAGACATTGGTAGAACCAACACTGAAGCTGATTCGTGTGTGCAGCTTGATCATCGCGCAGTGTGTGCGGCTTGATCATCCAGCCGTAGGCCAATCACCGCGTTCCATGACAAACATCGTATGTCTAGCGAAAGCCATCTCATCCGTGTCCTTGTTGCAAATTGCTGGCATGAACATTGTTTCTTTCGTCCCACGGGTTCTATCTGTGGTGACTCTGTTTACAACGAGGATTTTGACCTTTCAGACTTTTTGTCCATTCCTTTGCATTCCATCCCTTGGGCATAGAATTTATCGCCTCCACCAAACCAACCATCCAGCTCTCCCAGTTTCCTTCTCAATTGTTCCGACCGAATTGTAGCGTGATGTGTTGTTGATATTTCAGTACAATCGGCTGGTTCTGTCTCTCCCTTGTTAGCAGAGGTGCTTCCAGCAGTTTCACGCGACGCCAACGATCGGCTATGAAAAAACTGGACTAGAAAAGGAGCCCGGTGCTTCTAGCAATTGGTCGGATGCAGCAATTGACGTAGTTATCTCGGATGCAGCGATTCTCGGATTCTCGGATGTAGCAAACGCCAGGACCGATGGCCTACACGAGGTTGACTCGCACGGAACGGAGACGGTTGGCACTCCTTGTAGTTTTGCTCATTCTTGCCGCCTGCACGTCTGCTTGGCGTTTCTCTGATCAGATCTGTATCTTTTGTAGCTCGAAACGATCTGACACTGTAGTCGCGAAGAGCAGAAATGAAGCGGCCTTTATAGGGGACAGCGCGGATCCTGTTGGTTCCGAAAATTCGGGCAGTAACCGGGGTAGCGGGAATGACGGCGGAAGAAGCGGAGAGGAAGGAACCCTGTCACAGTCCGAAGGTTCAGGAGCAACATCCAATTATGATGTACGTCGTCGCGCTTTCTCAATCCCCTTTCCTACGCTCCTCGTTCTCCGCTCCCCCTCTGCTCCCCATGACCTCCTCCCCTCTCCTACGCTCCCAATCTCCGCTCTCCCTCTTCTACGCTCCCCATTCTTCTCTCCCCCTTCCGACGCTCCCCATTCTCCACTCCCCTTCTGATGCTCCCCATTCTCCGCTCACTCCTCCGCTCCCCATTCGCCCCCTTCCCCCACTTCGCATTCTCCCCTTCCCCCTCTCTCCCCGCCCTGGCAGTGTGGCTGGTGGGGGGCGTGCGGGACTTGAACGCCACAGGCCCCACCAACACACACCACCTGCTGCCCTCCCTGCTGCCTTCAAAACATCTCCCCTTCCCTCTCTCCCCTGTCCCATCTCCCTTTCCCCAGCCCTTCCTCCCCGCCCTGGCAGTGTGTCTGGTGGGGGGCGCACGGGACTTAGACGCTACAGGCCCCGCCATCATACACCACCTGCTGCCGTCCCTGCTGCCCTTCGATCTCTTCATCCACGCACCGTTGGATGAAAACGCCGCGAAGATCTCAGCCCTTGCTCGCGCTCATGCCATGCATGGGGATCATGCTACAGCTAGCAGCAGCAGCAGCAGCAGCAGCACGGGCAACCAGGATGGCAGCAGCAGAAGTGGCTATAACGAGCAGCAGAGCGCAGCTGGGAAAATGGCTGGTGCTATAAAGGGAGTGCGGGTGTTCCCGGTTGTGCCTGTAGATGCATCACTTTATCCCGGGTCTATTATCATCCTCCCCTGGGGATCTCCGAATGGGGTTCAGGGGATTCTGCAGTATTTCAGGTTGATTGAGGGCTGTTTGCCACTCATAGAACGTGAGGAAAATACAAACCGTGCTGGCCAGCCGTACCGGTGGGTGCTGCGCACGCGGCTTGATGGTTATTGGTCGGCGCCGGCGCCCCTGCTTTCGTCTTTTATTGGCTGGGCGGGGAAGGGGGCGGAGAGGAGGGAAGGGGGAGCAGGAGGAGGAGGAGGAGGACCAGAGGGGAAAGAGGGCGAAAGCATGGGGGAGAGGGCGGCATACGTTGTCCCATATGGGTCGAACTGGGGCGGCGTGAATGACCGGTTTGGGTTTGGGACGAGGGAGGAGAGTGTGGTGGCACTATCACGGCTGGCGATGCTGGATGAGGTCAACAGATACAGACAGAGGATTGGCATTAAACGGTAATAAAGTGATCTTTTTTGGGTGTGTTTTGTTGCGAGTATAAGGTGATGTGACTGTAAGGGGGCAGTGGGGATGGGGTGAGAGTGTGGTGGTGTTGTCGAGACTGGCGATTCTGGATGAGGTCAACAGATACAGGCAGCGGATTGGCGTTAAATGGCAATACAGCAAGCTTGTTTGAGTGTGTTTTGGTGTGAGTATAAGGTGATGTGACTGTAAGGGGGCAGTGGGGATTGTGAGGAGAGAGTTTCCCTGTCACGACTGGCGATGCTGGATGAGGTCAACAGATACCGGCAGAGGCTTGGTGTCAAACGGTAATAGAGTGATCTTGTGTGAGTTTGATGGGATTGTAAGTGCTGTGACTGTAAGGGGGGTGAGGATGGGGTGAGAGTGTGGTGGCGCTGTCACAACTGGCGATGCTGGATGAGGTCAACAGATACAGACAGCGGATTGGCATCAAACAGTGAGTGTCTCAGGTGATAAACATGTGGTAACCGTGTAACACCACTGGATGAAGTCTACATTGCGATGATAAGGTGATATGACTAAAAAGCGGTCTGTGTGGATGGGGTGAAAGAGAGTGTGGTGGTGCTGTCGAGACTGGCGAATCTGGATGAGGTCAACAGACACAGACAGCGGATTGGCGTCAAACGGTAATAGAGTGATCTTGTGCGAGTTTGGTGGGATTTCTCTCCTTCCTGCCTCTCCTTCCTGCCAGGCAGATGAACAGCGAGGTGACATTCAAGCTGCAGCTCAAATCTCGAGACATCGTCATCCAACCTGCCAGCCTGCCCTTCTGTGTGCTCTCTCACCATGCCTTTCCTTCCCTGACGCCTCTCCTTGCCCCCTCTCCAATCCACCTGCCCTGCCAGGCAGATGAACCGCGAGGTGACATGCAAGCTGCAGCTCAAGTCGCGCGATATAGCAGTGCAACCTGCCAGCCTGCCCTTCTGTGTGCTCTCTCGTCCCGAACCTTCCAGTACTCCTGTCCATCGTCCCCTTACTTGGCTCCACCTTTCCCTGCCAGGCAGATGAATAGCGAGGTGACATTCAAGCTGCAGCTCAAGTCGCGTGACATAGCAGTGCAGCCAGCCAGCCAGCCAGCCAGCCTGCCAGCCTGCCAGCCTGCCCTTCTGTGTGCTCTCTCGCCGGGCCTTCCCTGACGCCTTCCCATTCCCCTCTTCCATCCCTGGCACACGTGTGGCCCCTTCCTTCCGTGGTTGCCGGCCTGGTCCCTTCTCTCCCTCACTGCCAGGCAGATGAACAGCGAGGTGACATTCAAGCTGCAGCTCAAGTCGCGCGACATCACCGTTCAACCAGCCAGCCTGCCCTTCTGTGTTCTCTCTCGCCAGGCCTTCCTTGATAGCCCTCCATCCTGCTCTTCTGCGTCTTTCCATCCCCATTCCCGTCCGCATTCCGCCCCCCTTGGCAGGCAGATGAACAGCGAGGTAACATTCAAGCTGCAGCTCAAGTCCCGGGATATAGCAGTGCAACCAGCCAGCTTGCCCTTCTGTGTGCTCTCCCACCAACTCTTTCCATCCCCCCTGCCAGGCAGATGAACAGCGAGGTAACATTCAAGCTGCAGCTCAAGTCCCGGGATATAGCAGTGCAACCAGCCAGCTTGCCCTTCTGTGTTCTCTCTCGTCGGGCCTTCCCTGACGCCTGCAGCAGCATCACTGTCTCTATCAACGCGTCTGTGCCTCTCAACGGCGCCAAGTGCCAACCCTGCCACCCCTGCGCTGAGGGGAAAGAGGTGAGATGGGATGGGAGGACAGGGTAGGTAGGGTAGGGTAGTGCTGGTAACCAGAGGGACAGTCGCCTGTAGCAGCATCACTGTCTCTATCAACGCGTCTGTGCCTCTCAACAGCACCAAGTGCCAAACCTGCCACCCCTGTGCTGAGGGAACAGAGGTGAGATGGAAGGGTGGTAACCAGTCACACAAGCGCCTGTAGCAGCATCACCGTCTCAATCAACGCGTCTGTGCCTTTGAACGGGGCCAAGTGCCAACCCTGCCACCCGTGTGCTGAGGGCAAGGAGGTGAGAGACCAAGGGAGAGGAAGGGACAGAGGAGGTAGGGCAAGGAGGTGAGAGACCAAGGGAGAGGAAGGGACAGAGGAGGTAGGGCAAGGAGGTGAGAGACCAAGGGAGAGGAAGGGACAGAGGAGGTAGGGCAAGGAGGTGAGAGACCAAGGGAGAGGAAGGGACAGAGGAGGTAGGGCAAGGAGGTGAGAGACCAAGGGAGAGGAAGGGACAGAGGAGGTAGGGCAAGGAGGTGAGAGACCAAGGGAGAGGAAGGGACAGAGGAGGTAGGGCAAGGAGGTGAGAGACCAAGGGAGAGGAAGGGACAGAGGAGGTAGGGCAAGGGCCTATCCGCCACCACTCAGACACCTGCAGCAGCATCACTGTCTCTATTAACGCGTCTGTGCCTCTCAACGGGGCGAAATGCCAACCATGCCACCCATGTGCCCAGGGGAAAGAGGTGAGACCGGAGGTAGGGAGATGCTGGTAACCAGACACAGAGGCGCCTGTAGCAGCATCACTGTCTCCATCAACGCGTCTGTGCCTCTCAACGGGGCCAAATGCCAATCCTGCCACCCATGTGCCCAGGGGAAAGAAATTAAGCAAAAAGTGGCAGCAGCATCACGCGTCCCACGTCACTCGGCTTGCAACCAAGTGGATTCCGTGGCATCAGCAAATGTAATGAGGTTATTTTTGAGACGTCTCAAAAATCACGCGTCCCATATCACTCGGCTTGCAACCAAGTGGATTCCGTGGCATCAGCAGCTCACAACTGGCCTGGGTTTACTTCTTGAGCCCATGATGTTGCAGGTGGGTGATGTTGCCCATGATGTTGCAGGTGGGTGATGTTGCCCATGATGTTGCAGGTGGGTGATGTTGCCCATGATGGGTGTTTTTAAGAAGTCTCAACAACACCCTGCAGCTCACAAGTGCCCTGGGTTTTCTTCTTGAGCCCTCGCTTTACCAGTCAAACCCGCCGTTCTTACCCATTCTTTCTCACTCTCACTCCCATTCGACCTCCCTACTGACGCATTCCTCCCCCAATCAGGTGGAAGCTATTTTGAATGCCACGTCACCATCATCTGACAAGTGGCTGGGTCCCGTCCAATCAGGAGTCGCCTTCTGTCCCGGTGGGAAGGGGAGAGGGAAGGGGCGGTCTGGTGCGGAGGGATCGTGGCCGTCGGATTGGGAGGAGATTTTCCGACGAACGGTGGGAGATGAGCTGGCGGCGAGGCAGAGGAGGATCAGAAGCAGAGTGGGTGAAATCGACACGTGCACTCGGTTATTGGAAAAGGTGATTTTAGAGGATGTGATGCTTATGAAAATTGTTATTATAGAGGCTAGGGAAATGAAACCTACTGTATCCAATGGCTTCTCTCCGCTCTTGCTGCTCCTAAGGTGCTTGCTTGGTGCTCTGGTTGTTGAGAATTCTCAAAACGTGCTTGCTTGGTGCTCTGCCTGCCCTGCACCCCAACTCCCCATCTCCCCTCTCCACCCCCCGTCACTGCCCTCCACCTTCAAACACCCCTCCTTAACCCTCATCATCCCTCTCCAACCCACCATCACCCCTTGCCACCGTATCCAACTAGGTCGCCCCCTCGTCTCTCTCCCTCTGCGTCCGCTCTGCTCTTGGTGCTGCCAACATGCTTGCGTGCTGCTCTCCCTTCCACCCACTCCCCGTCACCACTCGCCAGCTTCAGTTACCTCTTTCCACCCCCCGTCACCCCTCTCCTCCCCCCATCACCGCTCTCCACACCTCATCACCCCTCTTCATCGCAGATGAGAGCGACTGTGTCCAACTGGGACGCCCCCTCGCCTCTCGCCCTCTGCGTCCGCTCTGCTCTCGGTGCTCCCAGCGTGCTTGGCGCCCCACACGACTCCTTCCCCATCTTCTCCCCTCTGCTCTCCGCCAAAGGGTATGTCTTTGCTGCTTCCTCCTGCCCTATTCCCCCTCTCTCATCTCCCCATTCTCCTGTTCATTGCGGTCGATGCTCCTCCAACTCTCTCGCCCACTCACTGCTCCCAGCCTACTTACCGGCCCACAAGACTCCCTTCCCATCTTCCCCTTTCTGTTTTCTCCTGAAAGGTGTGCATCCGCCGTTTTCCCCTACCCCATTCCTCCTCTCTCATCTCCCCATTCTCCTGTTCATTGCGGTCGAAGCTCTTCCAACTCTCGCCCTCTCGCTGCTCCCAGCCTACGTGCCGCCCCACAAGACTCCTTCCCCGTCTCCCCTCTGTCGTGTTTTGAGTCGAACCAAAACACGACTCGCTGCTCCCAGCCTACTTGCCACCCCACAAGACTCCTTCCCAGTCTTCTCCCCTCCGTTTTCCCCCGAGAAGTGTGCCTTCGCTGCTGTCCCCTACCCCATTCCCCTGCTCTTTCTAATGTCGTCGCTCTCTACCTCCCTCTCACTGCTGCCAGCCTACCTGCGTGTTTCTTTTACTCACTCCTGTCTCATTCTTTCTCCCTTCCCTCCTTACTCCTCTCCCCCTCGCATCAGTAGCATCCTTCACGTGGAATACACGGCGCTGCAAGCAGGATCAACAGCAGTCGCAGCTGTTGCAATTTTCTCACTCTCTCTTTCTCCCTTCCCTTCTTCTCCCCTCCCCATTGCATCAGTCGCATCCTTCACTTGAAATACACGGCGCTGCAAGCAGGAACAGTCGGAACACATGCCATTCTAGTGTGCATTAAACCTGTATGATTTTTTTACTCACTCGTATCTCGTTTCTTTCTCTCTTCTCCCCTTACTCCCCTCCCCATTGCATCAGTCGCATCCTTCACTTGGAATACACGGCGCTGCAAGCAGGATCAGCGACAGGGAAAGCCGGAGCAGGAGGAGCAGCGGGAGGAGCAGCGGGAGGAGCGGAGGGAGAGCAAGCACAAGAAGGGCAATCGTGGGAGGATGCAGTGGAGAGGGCACAGCCAGGGGTGCGGGTGACCAGAGCATCGTTTGCTGACCTGCAATTGGCTGCTGACCGGCAGGAGATTGTTCCTGTATTGAAGGTGAGTACCTCCTCAGCTCACTCGCCTCGTTCTCCCTGCCTCCGGTCTGCCTCCTCTACCCAAGAGCCCCTTTTTGCCATGCCCGTCCCCCCCTTCCTCCCCCCTGCTTCCCCAGGTCACAGTGCATGGGCCGACACAGCCCATCGAGCTGCTCACCTCACTCGCCTCCTTCTCCCTCCCTTTTCGGTGTGCACCATACAACCCAACCTACTCACATGAGAGTAAATGCTCTAGGCCAGGTTGTGAAATAAAAATATATACGGTACTTCTTCCATAACCAGACTTGAAACAACTTAATCTCACATACCGAGATCAGTATACAGCACCCAACCGAGGTTCACCGACAACCATTTGGAAGCGACCTGACATTGTTTCATGGGAAATCTTCCAGCGTTTACGAAAAAAGATTTTACGAGGCGCTGCGATGCAGGTTACAAGGATTCCGCCTGTCGCCAACAAAGATTTGGCTGTGTGTTTGCCATTGTGGAGGCTGGCTCCATCCCTCCTCCCCATCCCCGCGTGCTATGGTTTGACAAAAGATCCATGTTGCGGATGCTGGAAGCGAGCCAATGGGGCTTCAGATTTAGCGCAAATGCTATTGGACAACGAATTGTCAATCGCCAGCGTGACTCTTCGCTAGGATAACTGACTCCTGCAAGGGATGGCTTGAGGTAACCTTGCGCTGTCCCTCCCACCAGCTTGAATATGCCAGCCTCTAGTCGCCAGCTTTCTTGCACTGTTCTATGGTGGTGGTCGTGTAACAGTGAACCTGTCGTCGTAAGACGCGGCTGCATCCTCTGATTGGCTCACGAGAATTTTGGGCACGGCTCCGAATTTACAGCAAATGCGCCGCATTTCCCTTCCACTGTAGTTTTCTCAGTTTCTGAATTGAAGCCGAATTCTCAACCCGCTCATCAATCAAGGAGTCGCCTACAGAAACATGAGTTTGGTTTTGACACTGATCATTCTCGAGATGGTAACCGTAATCCACGAATAATTCCCTCTCAGTAACGACGTTCGTGAAGATCCAGCGATGTTTATTTTCATGGGCTAACTCGTGCATCAAAGGTGGGGAGGGGACTCAATCGCAAGTCCTTGTGAGTGCGTCCTCACTGGGGCCGAACCCACGTTTCCCACAAAGCACGGTAAATAACCAAATTGCGCCCACCCACCCCCATGCCCCCTGAAATCCCACGCGATACCGAATCACAAGCTTTTCATTCCCTCCCATAGTTCCTTCCCTTTCTGTCTCCGCTTGTCCTCTCCCTCCCACCCATTCCCTCCCCTTCTCCATTTGCTTGCCAAGTCTAGCAAGAGGCCAGACGGTCAGACACCTTGCTGCCATGATGCTCCAAATCATAGATACCGAGCCTGGGGCGGCCTGTGGCTGTGGTGGCTGGAATGCCAACGTGACTCTAGCAATTGCGGTGTGGTGCATGGATACTTCTTCAATAGATTCTTGCACATCGCCTTGTCGTAGAAAATGGAGAGAGAGGAGAGGAGTAAGTGGGAAGTGGGAATACGGTACGCAGGCACCCCAAAGGAGTTTGTGGCTCCAAATCTTGGCGCTGAGGTCACTATTAGTGACGCACTATGTACTACAGTACTGCACCAACGGTAAAGCAAGTTGCTCCAATTGTATTATGTGTACACCCACCGACATCACACCCCATCCCCCTCCTTCACGCTGTTCCTCTCCTCCACTCCATTCCTAGGCGATAGACGCTACCAGAACAACCCAAGCAACGCCAGTTGCCAGAACCAAAGGAAGTTTCAGCTCCTATGCTGGTACAATCGCCAATGGTCGACTCCATGAGTCATAACACAGCTGCACATCACTCAATTCACTCCATTACTACAATCTCCAGTTTCTTTCACAGCAGTCGGTTACACTAGTACCACTGTCACAATTACCGCAGCTGATGATAGGAGCAATCGAGACTGAATCACTTGCAGCGCGACTCGTCTGACGCGACTCCATGGCCGCGAGAGTTATCCGCGCACCAGAGAGTTTCTTCGAGGCTTCGGAGATGTACAGAGTCCCTTCCTCCTCACCAAATCACTATCAGCGTCCCACGAAATACTCTCACGGCGATTACTACCCCACCGCGCATCCCGACGCGTATCTTGCCGCGAATCCCGCAGATGCGCACAGCAGCTCGGCGGCTCAACCTCGCTTCATCGTGCCGGCTCTTGACGCCAGCTGCTTTCAATCTCCGTCGACGTTCGACTGGTCTCTGTCAACTTTTGACGGATCTCCGTCAGCCCTCGACGATTATTCGTTCGAAGCGGAAAATCCAGCCATTGAGGCGTTCCAAAACACATCCCCGCATTCGCTGTTACCAAGTTACGCCGGTTTCGCCAGCCACGACTTCGCCGAACGCGACGCCGACGAGTTCGCATATCCGGCGCGCCACCGCCATCCTTCCGCTGCGTCCTGGAGCGGCGGAGGCTTTAACGCTGCTTCGCTTCCGCAGAATCTTCCCGCCAACGGCCGCGCCTTCCGTGCCTCCCGTGTTTCCTGCGACTCACGCATCTCTTGCGCCCCCCCACGCGGAGCTTGCGCCGTTCGCGGCCCCTCCGACGGCGATTGTGCGTCGGTAATGACAGACTTCGGCGACACTGTCGCACGGCGACCGGACGGTTGCGACGCCTCCCCCAGCGCAACCCCGGCGATTTCCGCGGCGGTGTGTGGGCGCGGGATGATCGTGCAAGCGGCGGGCGCGCGGCGGCGACCCGCCATCGGCATAAAAAAACTCCGCGAGTTGGAAGCCGCGAAGCAGAGAACTGCCACACAAGCGGCATCCGCGGTGGAGCAGGCGCACGCGCAGGTGGCGGCAGCGGCGGAAGCAAATGCGGTGGCTGTGGCGCAGGCGGAGGAGGTCGCAGAGGCAAGTGTGGGGACGGCGGCAGAGGAGGTGCCGCAGTTGCGCGCGACGCGCACCGTTCGACGGCCGTTACAACCAGCGAGGAGCAACTCCACGCCGCCGGAAGTGACGGAAATGGCGGCGATGGCGGCGATTGGGAGAGCGGGGACAGCTGGTGGCACGGAAGCAGCGCGCAGCGGCGGCGACGACTCAGGGGAGCCCGCCGGTGACGGGGGAACCGTGACGATGATTACGACTACGACGTGCATGGGCCACGCGGAAAGCCGTTTCTGGACGAACCGGGAGGAGAGAGCCGCGATTTTCGGGCTCCATTCCACGTCAGCGCCTCCCGAGTTGGCCGCGTACGATGATCGCCGCGATTCCCGGCTCCGCGCATCCAACGGTCGCGGGGTCCCCGCTATGTTCCCTCCTCCCGTCGCACGACGTCCGTCGCTCGAGTCGCTCGAGTCGCCACACCAAGCGAGCAGCTCGCGCTCTCCGAGTCAGTCGCCGTCGGTTAGACACGCTCCCTCGCTTCAGTCACGCTCTAGTCTCCCTCCGTTACAGTCACACCTGCACCGCCATCGCAATTCGCAGTCGAGGTCCCGCTCTCCGTCTCCGTCGCCATCCCCGTTACAGTCTAATCGCGCGAGGTCCCCGTTGCGAGCACCACTACACCGCCATTCGTCACAGGCTTTCGCTGACCCCCTCGCAAATTCGCCATCGCAGCGATTTTCCGAGGACCGGTTACGTCCGGTCCCTGCACGCACCGCGAGCGACTTCAGTGAAAAGTGCAAAGCCGACGCGCAACCAACGAGGAGCTTCCACGCGACACGGAAAGCTAGACCGCTAGGGTTTCCGAGGAGTGGGAGCGTGGATGGTGGTGTTCGGCGAAATTCGGCGATTAGCGATAACTTGATTTCAAGATCCGACGGGCAGAGCCCTTTCGGTTTGTACCAATCTGCTGTGTCGTCACACCATCACATGCGACGTGGCAGCCTCCCAACCGTAGCTTCGTCTCGCATGGAGTCTACACCAGCGCGGCTCTACAGAAACTCTTCGATAATATCTACAGCACATCCTAATGAAACCTGTAAAAGTTCCAACTCATCATCACCATCTCAATCTCCATCTTCTAGCAAACCTCATCCGTCCCTCTCCCGCTGCCCGAGTCCCCCCCGAACCTCCCTCCACGAGCTGCCCTCAGACAATCTCGATGGGTTGGTAACTAGCACCCATTACAACCGTTACATGCAGCACGGCGCTCTGAGGCAAAAATCCAGGCTCGGCCTCCGAACCACCTCGGTAGACCTGGGTGACATCGCTGCAGGCTCGGCACGTGCCGGACTTGCGGCTCAGCAGGCTCGGAATAGCAGCGGGTCCAACCAGGGGGGAGTGGATGTGGGGGAGGTGCAGCAGGGGCAGGAGCAGGGTAATTTACCCCACAAGTCATTTCAGAGTAGGACTAGACCAAACAGCTTGTCTGTTTGGCCCTCTGCCTACACCCCACTCTCTCCCTATGAGGGTGCAATTGTAGCAAGGACGGCTGTAGGACCAGCAGTGGCTGTAGCAGCTGCAACTGATGCTGCCCAGCACTCTCAGCAGCACTGCTACAAGCGTCACTCACCCCAGCGTCAACAGCATGAGCATCACTCACAGCAGCAACAGCAGCATCGGCATTACTTACAGCATCAGCACCAGCAGCAGCAGCAGCAGCAGCAGCAGCAGCATCGAAACGAACATGTGTCTGCTCCACTCAACAGTAACTCGACAGCTTCGTCGCCCCACTCCCCTCCCCAGCAACTTATGCACTCCTCTCCTCTCCTCTCCCACTCGAAGGCCGCATCGCGACTTTCCCCCCCCCACCAGTCCCATTCCCACTCTCCCCCCCACCAGTCTCATTCCCACTCTCCTCCCCACGAGACTATTCGCTCCCGCCGTGCCCTCCCTTCCCTTGCTGTACATCCTCTCTTCACCACGAGGGCATCCCCAGCTTCCATCCTCCGTACAAGCAGCCTCGCTACCAACACTACAGCTTCTACAGTAGAGCCTTATAGCTCCCTGCCTCTCCTGTTCCCCCTCCCTGGTACCACCTCCCCTGGTGCCAAAATGCCAGTTACCACCTCAACAGGTACTGCCTCCACTGGTACTGCCTCCCCTGCTACCACCTCCCCTTGTGCTGCATCTGCTGGGGTTTCTCCTGCAAGGCGGATTTCTCCCTGCCGCCTGCCCAAGTCGATCCTCACCGTCCGTCAAGAGGGGTCGATTGGACGCACCAGGTCGCTTGGCCGGCTTGTCAGGTTCAACAAGGTCGCAGAAGTGCATGTGATATTGTAGTGCTCATTCATTCTTTCATTAGTTTCTGTACAGTTGGATTTGCATTTAGCCATTTATGTGTAACTGTAGGAACTTGTACAGGAACTTGTAAATCTAGCATGACACATCCTTGGCATCTTTATTCAATCCTGTGCTCTTACTCACCATTGCCTGCACAGAGTGATCTAGTTCTTGAGTATCCCAAGTTACATTCACACAGCAGTGTTTTATCACATTATACGGAGTAGTGTTACTTAAGCAACAAACGTTATATTTAATGATTAGACAGCTCCAGTCCAGTCCATGTTTATCCCATGCCTTTCCATTTGTTTTTTCCTTTCTACCATACCTTTCCATGTGATTCCATGATTCTTTGACTTCAAGGGTCAAGTATCCAAGGGTGACCTGCAGCAAAGCGGGGTTGGGGTGGGGGAACAGACGAGGGGAGTGGGGGAACAGAGGCGAGGGGTGGGGAAGAAAGAGGGGGGAAGGGCAGAAAGTGTCCATCTAGCTGATTGGGACGATACAGAACAGTCAATGCCTTCATGCCACACCATGCCTTCATGCCATGCCATGCCTTCATGCCATGCCATGCCTTCATGCCATGCCATGCCTTCATGCCATGCCATGCCTTCATGCCACGCCATGCCTTCATGCCATGCCATGCCTTCATGCCACGCCATGCCTTCATGCCACGCCATGCCTTCATGCCACGCCATGCCTTCATGCCACGCCATGCCTTCATGCCACGCTATGCCTTCATGCCACGCCATGCCTTCATGCCACGCCATGCCTTCATGCCACGCCATGCCTTCATGCCACGCCATGCCTTCATGCCACGCCATGCCTTCATGCCACGCCATGCCTTCATGCCACGCCATGCCTTCATGCCACGCCATGCCTTCATGCCACGCCATGCCTTCATGCCACGCCATGCCTTCATGCCACGCCATGCCTTCATGCCACGCCATGCCTTCATGCCACGCCATGCCTTCATGCCACGCCATGCCTTCATGCCACGCCATGCCTTCATGCCACGCCATGCCTTCATGCCATGCCATGCCTTCATGCCACGCCATGCCTTCATGCCACGCCATGCCTTCATGCCACGCCATGCCTTCATGCCACGCCATGCCTTCATGCCACGCCATGCCTTCATGCCACGCCATTTCCTCTGCGCACCCAAAACCCCCCAACCCCCACTCACTGAAAAATCCCTCTTTTTACCCCTTCCTGCCCATTCTCCCCCACTCACAGAGAATCTCCTCTGCTGTGATGCGCTCATCGGAGTCAACCGTCAGCATCAACAACACCAAGTCCCAGGCAGGCAGGTCCGTGACTCGACGTCCCACTACTCTCTCCTCCTATCCCCCACCCCCCACCTTCCCCCTCCCCCCTAGTACTGAGAATCTACTCTGCTGTGATCCTCTCGTCCATCAGCATCAACAACACCGAGTCCTTGGCAGGCAGGCAGGTCCGTGCATCAACACTCCCATGTACTCCCTCCCCTCCGTTTCTCCCACTCTTCCCCTCCCTGGACACACAGCACCCCACCCTCCCCCCCACTCACTAAGAATCTCCTCTGCTGTGATTCGCTCATCGGGATCAACGGTCAGCATCCTTGACACCAAGTCCTTGGCAGGCAGCTACCAACACCCCCCCCCCAACCCCACCCCCCCCGACCACTCACTGAGAATCTCCTCTGCAGTGATTCGCTCATCCGGATCAACGGTCAGCATCCTAGACACCAGATCTTTGGCAGCTAGCGACACAATCGGCCACGGCGCCGCCCGGAAATCCAGTCTGCCGTCCAGAATCGCCTCGAAAACGGCCTCTTTGGTGGGCGCGCGGAAGGGGAGGAATCCCGAGAGCAGCAGGTGCAGCAGCACCCCCAGGCTCCAGATGTCGGTGGGGCAGGAGTAGGTCTGGGCGAGCATTTCAGGGGAGAGGAAGGAGGCCGTTCCCACTATCTCAGAGCAGCTCGTGCCTGGAGTAAGGGATTCAAAGGGGTGAAAAGGGGTGCAACGGGGTGGAAAGGGAGGCATCCTGAGAGCAGCACAGCAGCAGGTGCAGCAGCAGCTTAGTTGGAGTATATGCGTTTCGCGTTTCATACGCTAGCATTTATCCGCTAGCGTATAAACGCCGAACGCTTCTTGGGAGGGGTCCGGTACGCAGTGAAAACGCAGGCCCGGGCACATACTTCTTTTGGCCGGGCAGTTTGTTAGGTTAAGAGGGGGGGATGCGCAAGGTGCAAAGCACGAAGTTGGTGCCCGCAGTCTAGTCATACTCGTCGATACGAACGAGGTAGGTAAAAACGAGGTAAAAAAATCCGAACGATGAACATCGAATGGAGAATTAGAGCCGCATTTCTGCTAGAGATGAGTCTGGTTGAATCCAACTCCACTCGAAATTGAGTGGAAGGAATTGGGATTGAATGGGGTGGAGTGGGTTGCGCAATGGTACACACAAGGGGTTGTTGTGGATCTGCTTCGAAATTCAATTTCGAAGTTGAGATCCCGAATGTGCGATGCCCTAATTTTCAGTTCGCCATGTCGCTAGCTCAAACCCAACTTCTGATTTTTTTCCCGGGCTGCCGGAGCGTTTTTCTGCGTTTCCACACCAAAAACGCAGCGGTCGTTTTTTTAGCGCGTATAAACTCAAAACGCACAAAGATTCGAGCGTATTCTCCAACTAAGAGCAGCAGCACCCCCAGGCTCCAGGCATCGGTGGAGCAGGAGTAGGTCTGGGCGAGCATTTCAGGGGAGAGGAAGGAGGCCGTTCCCACTATCTCAGAGCAGCTCGTGCCTGGAGAATGGAGAGCGGTGCAAAGGGGTGCAGAGGGAGGGATTCTGAGAGCAGCAGCAGCACAGTGGGGCAGGAGTAGGTTTGGGCGAGCATTTCAGGGGAGAGGAAGGGGCGAGCATTTCAGGGGAGAGGAAAGAGGCCGTTTCCACTATCTCACTGCATGTTGTTCCTGTGTTGGGTTGATAGATAATGGGTGGAGAGGGGTGCAAAAGAGTGCAGTGGGGTGCAAAGCGGTGCAAAGGGGTGCACAGGGAGGAAGCCTGAGAGCGGGAGGTGCAGCACGATTGTCTCTTTCACCAAGAGGCAACAGGGTTGACTCTCTCAATCAACAACCCAACCCACCTGGTATGTTGACGTGACTTTTGAGAATTCTCAAAAGTCATGTCAACATGGGAGGTGCAGCACGTTTGTCTCTTTCACCAAGAGGCAACAAGGTTGACTCCCAACCCACCTGGTTCGAAGAAGCTTGAGATGCCAAGTTTACAGATCTTCACGTCCCCACCCACCGCAGGTCTACCTCCCCTAGATTCGCCTTCTACCTTACCAGAAGCAACAAGGTTGACCCTCTCAATCAACAACCCAACCCACCTGGTTCGAAGAAGCTTGAGATGCCAAAATCGCAGATCTTCACATCCCCAGGCACGCCAAATTTCTACCACCCCAGGTGTACCTCCCCTGAATAGGCCTTCCTCTCCAGAACGAATGTCTTTCCACAACCCACCTGGCTGGAAGAAGGTGGAAATTCCAAAGTCGCAGATTTTGACGTCCCCAGGTACACCTCCCCCAGAAACGTCCAAACGCTCCCCCAGCAGGATATTATCCGGCTTCACGTCGCGGTGAATGATGCCGTTGGAGTGGCACTGCAGCAGCGCCTCCGCTGCTGCCCCCACCACCGTTGCTGCCTGTGGCTCGTTGAACGGCCCTTGCTCCCTGACTGCTTGTTGGAGGGTTCCCCCCTGACACAGCTCCATCACCAGATAGACCGTCTGGGTTGGCATAGGGGGGAGGGCAGCAATGGGGAGGATTCATTAGAGTTATAGGGAGTGAAGGTCATCCAAGGGGTTACTTCCCCTCACTGCCTTCTGCAGTGTCCCTCCCTGACACATCCCCATCACCAGATAGACCGTCTGGCTTAGCATTGGGGAGTGGGGAGGGGAGGGGAGGGCAGGGGAGTAGAGGGGACGAGTGGGGAGGACAGAGGAGGGTTTTCAGTGCCCAATTTCCCCCGCACACAGTCACGTACTCGTTATAAGCTCACTTCCGTAGTCAGCTCATTATGGACAGATTCGTTTACCTGTGCATCCTCCGCAGTCCCTATTCGCTGCACAGTGTGCTGGTGGTTCCTCCACGCCTTTTGAGGCGCCTCAAATGTCGTCTCTATCCGCTGCACAATGTGCCGCTGCACAATGTGCCGCTGCACAATGTGCCGCTGCACAATGTGCCGGTGGTTCCTCCACGCCTCCAGACCAGAGCCCAGTTGTCTTCCCAGAGCACAGTCAGCCATGTACTCTTTACTAGCACACAGACTTGTCATACGCGTTATAGGCAGACGCGTTTACCTCTGGCTCCTCCACCGTCTCTATACGCGTTATGAGCTGCACGATGCGCCGGTGCCCTCTCAGCGCCTCCAGAGCCCAGAATTCCTCCCAGCACAGTCAGCAATGTACTTGACACAAGCACACAGCCTTGTTATACTCGTTAAAAACAGACCCACCCGCCCACCTCTGGCTCCTCCACCGTCTCTATGAGCTGCACGATGTGGTGGTGCCCTCTCAGCGCCTCCAGAGCCCACTTTTCCACGCACACACCTTGTCATACTCGTTATAAGCAGACCCACCCATGCACCCACCTCTGGCTCCTCAACCGTCTCTATGAGCTGCACGATGTGCCGGTGCCCTCTCAACGCCTCTAGAGCCGCCACCTCGTTCTGCACGTCCTCTGCATCCTCTGGGGTCTGGTGGTGTGAGGCGAAAGCAAGTAAGGGGTTACTCTGTCTGTGTGCATACAGCAACGCAACGGCGGAGAGTGGCCCCTCAGCGCCTCCAGCGCTGCCACCTCGTTCTGCACGTCCTCTGCATCCTCGGCAGTCTGGTGGTGTGAGGGTGTTGGGGGGGGGGAGGAAAACAAAACGAGCCAGGGAGAGTGACCCCTCAGCGCCTCCAGCTGCCACCTCGTTCTGCACGTCCTGTGCATCCTTGGGAGTCCGCAAGCAAGGCTTGCAATGGGCAGTGCATTATTATGCCACACACACACACACACACACACGCACACACACACACACACACACACACACACACACACACACACACACACACACACACAAACGGTGCAGCTGCCACCTCGTTCTGCACGTCCCCTGCGTCCTCAGGGGCCTGATGTGGGGGTGTTTGGGATGGAGGGGGGAATGGGGGAAGGAACGGTGGGTGGAGGATGGTGTGATGATATGGGCACAGGTGGTGTGATGATATGGGCACAGGTGGTGTGATGATATGGGCACAGGTGGTGTGATGATATGGGCACAGGTGGTGTGATGATATGGGCACAGGTGGTGTGATGATATGGGCACAGGTGGTGTGATGATATGGGCACAGGTGGTGTGATGATATGGGCACAGGTGGTGTGATGATATGGGCACAGGTGGTGTGATGATATGGGCACAGATGGTGTGATGATATGGGCACAGGTGGTGTGATGATATGGGCACAGGTGGTGTGATGATATGGGCACAGGTGGTGTGATGATATGGGCACAGGTGGTGTGATGATATGGGCACAGGTGGTGTGATGATATGGGCACAGGTGGTGTGATGATATGGGCACAGGTGGTGTGATGATATGGGCACAGGTGGTGTGCGGACGGATGGGGACCTTTCATGGAAGTCCACTAAGTCCAATCTTCGGATGGGGACAAATTGGAAGGTCACACTCTTCGGTCACCCTTCCACGGTAGTTGCTTTCTCTCACTCACCTTCCCATTTGTTCATCACTCGGCATGCGAATTTCTCCCCACCATTTCTCCTGCCACGGACACCACCACACCCCCAACAACAAGCACTGCACCACACCCAACCGCACCCCACCGTCCACTATATACCTTCACATTCGCCTTGTTGATCAATTTACATGCGAAATGCTCCCCGCTTTCTTGCTCCACACACACCACCACATCTCCGAAATATCCCTTCCCCAGCACCTCCCCTGTCAGCTCAAATCGGGCGGCAAAGCTCTCCAGCGGTCGGCCAAGGATATTGCGCCACCTGGACCGCCCAGCTGGCGACGCCCCGGGCGGCGGCAGCACCAGCACCGCTGCCGCCCCTGCCGCATCCCCGCCCCTTCCCCCCCCTGGTGACACGTGTCCTCTCGAGATTGGCAGGCTCTGGGAGTTAGACCGGGTGTGGCCAATCGGAGAGCGCCCTGTGGAAGACGAAGAGGATCGGCCTGGCATAGCCCCTCCTCCTCCAGAACCAGCACAATTACCACCTGCACCACTCACAACTCCTGCTAACCCAGGAGAACCAGCCGCAGCAGGACTCCCACTGCTGTAGGAGGCGGTTCTTGTGTGGCCTGGGGCAGAAGGATGGGTATGCTGCTTGCCATGCTGCTGATGCTGTTGCTGCTGATGCTGATGCTGATGGTGCTGATTGTGGTGCTGGTTATGCTGGTGCAAGTGTGGGGAATGGATTTTGCCCTGTTGCTGCTGTGGCAGCATTTTCTGCTGCTGCTGCTCCTGCTGGTGTTGGTGGTGCTGCTGCTGATGGTAGTTGCTTGATGGAGAGAGCTGGGAGGGATGTTTGGGGGAGGAGGACACACGCTGCGGGTGCTGTGAGGGGGATCTCAGATTCTGGCCTTGATTCGAAGGTGACCGAGCCATCCCATTCGAAGGTGACCGAGCCATCCCCAGCTGCTGCTGTCTCTGTTGGGAGGGCGAGGGTGTTGACTGTGACTGGTGGAAGGAGTGGTGAGAGGATTGCTGTGGGGAGGACACAGCAGGCGAGCCCTGATGTGAATAACCTGTGGGTGGCTGTTGAGGGGAGTAGCTTGAAGGCCGATGGTGGGGAGAGGAGGAGTATTGAGAAGGATGGCTTGCAGAAGCGTGTCTTGATGAGGTGTTGTGGTTACTGTGGTGGAAACCACCTCCATCATCATCATAATTATCCTCAGCAGCAGCATAAGCATCCTGGTGGTAACCGTCCTGCTGGTAACCGTCTTCTTGGTAACCTTCCTGCGGGTAACCGTCCTGGTGGTTACCCTCTTGGTGGTAACCATCCGGAGCACCTATATAACCATCCTCGTTACCCCTCCCACTGCGAGCCGCATGATTGGCACGGCCATACTTATCGTAAACATCCCCAATTTCTCCATGCAAGTGGCCTTCAAGCATATCCCCATTGTATGCCCCATCAACACCCCCATGCTCCCCAGGATAATCACCACCACCATAAGCACCACCATCACCATACCCCTCTTCGCTATAATGCCCCTGGTGGCCAGCTGCCACGTCATCAGGATGCGCATGAGGATCTTGTGCCAGCTCAGCAGAGACGTCATCATGGTAACCAGAATCATTGCCACGTCCGTAACCACCTCCCCTCCCCACTGGGTCAACCTCGTATGCGCCCTCCCCCTCATCCTCCTCTTCTGCTTCCTCCTCCTGCTCCTCCTCCCTCACTCCCTCCATACCCATCTCCTCTCTACCTCTTCCCATTTCCCTCACTCCATCCACTGAGTCCTTCTGCTCCTCCTCCCCATACCCATCATCATATTCCCACCCGTGCATATCTCGGCCCGTTTCCCGCTCGTTATAATCACCCTCCTTATCGTCTCGCTCAACATAGTCACTTTCCCTCTCTCCACTACCCTCGCTAATGTACCCTTCCCCACCCTCACCAACCCTCCCCTCTCCCCTGCCTTCCTCCCTTTCCCCTCCTCGCCCTTCCTCTCTCCAATCCTCCCTCCTCTCCCTTCCACTCTCTCCCCCCGAACCCTGAACTCCGTTCCGCGTATCCCCCCAGTCCCCCCTTCCCCCGTCCCCTCTACCTCCATACCCCCTTCCCCCATCCCCCCTTCCCCCATCCCCTCTTCCCACAACCCCCCTTCCTCCATTTCCCCTACCTCCATCTCCTCTTCCCCCGTTCCCTCTCTCCCAATCATCTCGCGACCACTGTTCCTCCTCCTCATCCGCCTCCTCGTATCTGCCCTCCTCCCTGTCCCATCCCTTCTCCCTCTCCCTCTCCCCAACTCTCCTCCCTTCTCTCTCCCTATCTCTCCCAGACCCCCTCGCATCATACCCATTGTCATCATACCCATCGTCATCATCCCCCCTCCTCCTCCTACCATCATCATCAGCATCTCTCTTCCTATCATCATAATCATCATCTCTCCTCCTCCTGCCTGCATCATCATCATCATCCTTCCTCCTCCTGCCCCCATCATACTCATCATCATCTCTCCTCCTCCTGCCCCCATCATACTCATCATCTCTCCTCCCCCTGCCCCCATCATAGTCCTCATACGAAGACCCTGACCTCGAATCATCATCACACCCTCCTCTACCCCTCTCAACCTCATCATACCCATTCCTTCTCAGCCCGCTACTTCCAGCCCTTCCGCCTCCTCTCCCCCCTCCCCTCCCCCTCCTATCGGGGGAAGGGCTCCGACTATAGTCATCATACCCCTGACTCCCCCGCCCGTCTTCGTCTCTGTTATGCTGACGCGGCGCTGACGTGGCGCCTCCCCCAAGCGGGCGCGCGGGGGAGCGGCTAGAGCTGTTGTCCCCCGAAAGCCCCAGTCCGCGCGGGGGAAGGATTCGCTGTCGCGGATCCTCCCCCCTCCGCGCGCCCACACCTCCGCCAGGCGGCGCAAAGCTGCCCCTAGCGGGCATAGGCGCGGAATTCAGCGCGCGCCTATCTTCCGAAAACGCCCGGCGCAAGTGCAGGTCCCCGCGCGGGCCAGCAGCCATTCCGCCCATGCTCCCCCGCCCGCCTCCTCCCCCGCCTCCGCTGCTGCCCTCCCCCGCATACCCATACGTGCCCGCGTGTCCGGGGCTGTAATTCCCCCCCACGCCCCCGACCGGCCCCATCCCCCCAACGCCCAGGTTAACCCGGTCGTTCTTTTTCATCGCGCTTAGTGACCGCGTAAGGCGGCGGTCCGGCGGTCGGTTAAGCAGCATCTTTACTTTCTCTGCTGCTTGCTCCGTCCGCGATAGAACCTTCGCTAGGTCTTTATTCCCACCCGGTCCGCCTGGCATTCCTGGCCTCTTTCCTACGCCATCGTAAGGAGAACCTGTTCCTAATGCCCCTCCTGCTCCTCCTGCTCCACCTGCCCCTGACGGTCTGTACATCACTCCAGGGCCCTCCACCGAACGCGATCTAAGAACGCTTCCTGATTGGCCCATTTCGCGGCACGATTGCGACCGCTTGAACGCGCCGCTGTCCCCCTTGCCGACCCACTCCGGCACGTGCTGCGACGAAAACACCCGCGTCGCGCATTTCCGCAAATCCTGCGGCGCCGGCGGCTTCCCGTGCGGAGGCGGACCGTGTGCGTCCCCCCGCCTCGGCGGAAGCCCCTTTTTCCCCATAGGCGGAATTTCCAGTCCGCCAACTTCCTCGAAAGGGGAGGCGGCGGGCGGGGGAGCGTTAATTGGCGCACCTTCCGACTCCGATTTCGTAAACCACGCCATGACCTTAGTCTTAGACTTAACCATTTCCTGCTCCATTTCTGCCAACTCTTCCGCCGTTAACGTCACGTCACCGGCAACTCTCTGACTGACGGACCGGTTCAACCGGCCGTGCGGGGGCGCGGGTTGCTGACGCGCGGCGGGAGCGGCGGGAGCGGCGGAATTGAAGTTTTTGAAGTCCATCGATTGGGAGGATACTCCGATGGATCTGGAGCGGCGGAGATCGGTGCCGCTGCCGACGCTCTGCCTGCGCGGGTCCATCCGCTTCGACATCGTCGTTAGTTTGGAATGCGGAAGAGATTAGCTATTGGACGTCAGCCGAAGTGAGGGTTGAAGGAAACCCTAACAATGAGGGGTAGGTTACGAAACAACCGAAGAGAGTTGTAAATACTCAGTGTGCTCCTCGCATACCCAGTAATGCAGGTGACAGGGCAGAATGGGTATAGACGAGGCTCCGGGGTCATGAGCTACCACTAGCGAACCTGCCTTGATTGAAACGTCCGACTACATAGTTCCTAGAAACGCATGCAGCAGCCAGCTGGAACGTGTGTGTCAGGCTACAATCCTGCCGTGAATGTACAAACGAGTTTTGAACTTAGTCGAAAGAAACCGTTTGGTTCCTACCATGCCGTCACCAATAAGGGCACGGAGTAATTCGCCATGAGAGCCTCACAAAGAAGCCATCATGTGGTTCGAAACTTCACATCCGTTATTTCCTTCCAACCTAGAGATTTCCACTCCAGTAACCAGCATGCGATGGCGCATAGCAGAGGAGAAGGCAATCCCGAAGTCCCCAAACCAAACACAGGGAACGCGAGGGACAGTCTGGAGAGAGGTTCCGAGCCTAATACCTGGCACGGAACTGGTTGGAGAAAGCCGCCATAAAAATATTAATACTGTAGTCTGGTCAGGTCTTCGGGTAGTTCTGATTACGGAAATGATTTCAGCACCATGAAAATATTCTCTTCGTCTGGTTGCCTTCGGCAACCAGTTGGTCAGGTATGTGAACCGATGAATTTCCTAAGAAGGTGGTACACATGGCTAGGGTTTATCAACGAACCTACGGAACACTTGGCGATCTTACGAACAGCACGCGATCTTACACAAAAGTCTCCTCCCTAAGTCTGTGCAGAGATGATTTTGATGATTTCGATTGGCTAACACTGATTACAGATGTTACTGTGTAGAAGACTGTTGTGTAAGATCGCAAACTGTTCGTAAGATCGCCGACTATTCGCCAGGTGTACCACCCTCTAGGCAACATACACAGGCTCGGTTTCTGTTATTCAGGTGGAAAATTGGGGCTTTCTTTCCCAAAATGAGTTCACCCATTCCCATGCCCACATGCTACAGTGACTTCGCGGGAACCGCCTTCAGTTTGTTCGAGAATCGCCAAAGTAACCAACATGTTTTCTGTCCGTAGTTAACACTGTGAGAATATCCTCGCTTTCCGCCTTATCGAGCTGCTTCTGTTCATTGAACACTGTAAGCGTAACTAATCATAGAAAATAATGCTACTAGTAACAGTTTGAGCTGAACAATTTTGAGTTCATTACTTGAGGGATGTAAGGACGTGGTGCAGACCTGGCAAATCCGGTGCACCAATCCGTTCTGGGGCACGCCAGGGAGCCCCGCCACGAGCCATAGCGCGCGACTTGGGCGACAGAAGAACTACACAGAAATTACTCTGTGCTCGGGTGGAGGTTGCTAACAAGTTCTTCACTCCTCGCTATATTCAAATTGAAACGGACACCTGGGCATATCACGCGTCACAGGGAGACAATTGGTGAGAAAACAAACATTTAGGCGAATCTTGAATTATAAAGTAGTTGGGAATGATGATTGGGCGAAATTTATGGAAATGTGTCTATCTATCATGAAACTTGAACTCGATAACTCGCGAGGCTTTGGAACGTGCTAGCTAGCTCGCGCTGTTACATTTGAAGCATCAAGATTAGGAGATTAGGAGATTAGGAGAGAAGATAGGAGAATCGAGATGGTATCGAGAGAGGGAGTTTGGGTAAATATTTGCACTAAGAGAAGATGAGTACAAGGTATAGCAAGGAGAAAGGAGGTACACCACTTACAGCAAATGATCACATACACTACAGTTTACACTGCAGACAGTTATATAGAATATAGATAAATATATTCCAACACACCCCATAACTGCCTGTAGCGGATGACCAAGTGCAGCAATACTCCCTGCAGGGGTACACCAAGGCAAAGAGCAGCGGAAGCAGGAGAGGACAATCTAGGAAGAGGAGGAGAGAGGGAATGAGAGAGAGAGAGAGAGAGAGAGAGAGAGAGAGAGAGAGAGAGAGAGATAGGAGGAGAGAGAGGAGGAGGTGGGCGACGGCTGAAGCTGCTAGCCCACGGGCTACTGGAGCACTGGCTCGCGGGCATTGGGGTAACTGGCTCGTACGCCTGGAGCATCCCGCTCATACGGCTAGAACGACTGACCCGACGGGCGACTGGAGCAACGGGCTCACTGACGACTGGGACTGCAGGCTTCACGGCGGCCACCCCCCTCCAACCTCTCCAACCTCTCCCCCTCCCCAACGACGGCGGAGATGGCTGGAGGAGAAAACAAACGGAGGAGGATACGGTGGGAAACGGAGAAGAGAGATGAGGAGGAGAGGCAGTTGGTGGCGGTTTGCTGGTCACCCCTGCCACCCCCTCATCCTCCCTGTCAGATATATATGCCTTAGCCTATGTAGGCTGTAGTGGGGTAGACACTAAGAGATACAACTTTCATATTTGTATCTCACACTTTCCTAGTTCATTCATTCCTGTTGTTCCTTTCACATGGTATAGAGCGGGTTCCCACATGGGACCGTTCCTTCCTAAGGGCCCACCATAATTTTTTTTTTTAGCTGCCCAACGCCCTGCCCTAATTTTTTTTTTTTTTTTCGCGGCCCCTACGTGGCCCCTTTGTCGCCTCGCGCGCCCCTACGCGCCCCCTACACGGCACCTAGCGCGCCCCTACCCGGCCCCTACGCGGCCCTTACGCGGCCCCTAGCACGCCCCCTACCCGTCCCTGACGCGGCCCCTACGCGGCCCCTGACGCAGCCCCTACGCGGCCCCTGACGCGGCCCCTGCGCGACCCCTGACGCGGCCCCTACGCGGCCCCTGACGCGGCTCCTCCACGCCCCCTACGCGGCCCCTGACGCGGCCCTTACGCGGCCCCTGACGCGGCCCCTACGCGGCCCCTTACGCGGCCCCTACGCGGCCCCTACGCCACCCCTGCCGCGGCCCGACCCAGCCCCGTCCCTGACGCGGCCCCTACGCCGCCCCTGACGCGGCCCCTACTCTGCCCCTGACGCGGCCCCTACGCCGCCCCTACGCGGCCCGGCCCGGCCCCGTCCCTGACGCGGCCCCTACGCGGCCCCTCCGCCGCCCCTACGCGGCCCCTACGCCGCCCCTAAAGGGCCCCGTCCCGGTCCTGCCCCGGCCCCGACCCCGTCCCGGACCTGCCCCGGCCCCGACCCTGTCCCGGCCCCGTTGCTGCCCTGTCCCGGACCCTGCTCGGCCCCGACCCTGTCCCGGACCTGCCCCGGCCCTGACCCTGTCCCGGCCCCGTTTCTGCCCCGTCCAGGACCCTGCTCGACCCCGACCCTGTCCCGGCCCTGTCACGGCCCCGACCCAGTCCCGGACCTATCGTTCCGCCCCTGGTAAGAGCCTAGCCGGGCCGAGCCGCGCGGCCGAGCCGCACTGCCTTGCTAATTGCCCTGCCGAGTCGCACTGTCCTGCCTCGCCCAGTTGCACTGCTGCTGCTGCTAGTCTGCTGCTGCTCCTAGCATGGCTAGTCCTAGTCTTCTCACCTTTGATGCTGAGGGTCGAGCGGTTGACTTTGATGTCTGGCTAGATGATTTGCAGCTTTTCCTTCAGTGCGATAGCAAGGATGGTCTCTCCCTGTTTGATCTTACGTCGGGTGCCTCTACTGCCCCTGCTGCTGATGCTGACAGTACTGTTCGCTCGCAGTGGCTCACGCGCGATGCTGCTGCCCGCCTTGCTGTGCGTAGTCACCTACCGTCTACTGAGCGCGCGCACTTTAGTCAGTACAAGAGTGCTAAGACTCTGTACGACGCAGTAGTTGCACGCTACTCCTCCCCTGCCACTGCTGCGCTTAGTCGCCTCATGCTACCGTACCTGTTCCCTGACCTCGCTGCTTTTGCCACAGTCACTGACCTCATTACGCACCTTCGCACTAGTGACACTCGCTACCGCGCTGCGCTTCCTGCTGAGTTCTGCGCCCAGAACCCCCCCCCCCATGTACATCACCCTCTACTACCTAGTCACTCGACTCCCTGACACTCTCCGCTCGGTCAGGGACCACTTCCTCTCTCTTTGCCCTACCACCCTCACTGTCGACCTCCTCGAGGAGCGCCTCCTTGCAGCAGAGACTAGTATCACCGCTGTAGGCGCCTCTCGTGGTGACCCCCGTACCCCTTTCTTTGAAGGGTGCTCCCCCGTTCCTCTTTTGCCCTCTGTTGCCTCTGCTGCTGCTGTCGACCTTATTGGCACCGAGTCGGTCAGCGCTGCGTCTGCTCCTAGTGAGAGGCGCCGCATCAGCAAGGGCAAGCGGGGCAAGGGAGCTGGAGGAGGTGGTGGGGGCGGCGGTAGTGGCGGTGGAGGCGGAGGAGGGGGTGGGGGTGGGGGTGGTGGTAGAGGTGGGGGCTTCGGTGGCGGCGGTGGAGGTGGAGGCGGCGGTGGCGGTGGCGGGAGGGGTGGAGGAGGCGGAGGCGGCGGCGGCGGAGGTGGAGCTGGTAGAGGCGGAGCTGTGCAGCGGGGACCCCAGCAGTAGCAGTGCTCTCGTGAGACCCCTTCGCCCCAGCAGCTTCGTGAGTGGTACGCGGGGCGCCAGGGGTCTGGGGGAGCTGGTCCCTGTACTTACGTCCTGCGCACCGGTGACCGCACTGGAGAGCAGTGTGGCGGCCTGCACGCCAACCAGCGCTGCTTCGGTCGCCTGACGGACGCCTGGCGTGCCCAGTTCCCGGACG